ACCTGTTTTCCGACCATGACTAGTAGTTCATTGAGGTTTAGGATTAGTTCAAAGGGCATTTTATAGCACAATACACTAGTTTACCTTGCCGATATGAATGGCAAACCATTCCTGAAGATAAATTTTATTTCTGTACAAAAAAGGATGGGTTACGTTTTTTCTTCTAAACAAATTCAAACATTTCGTATTTGTGAGTAATTCGCAACAAGAGATGATAGACACATTCGCTTTGTTTCAAAATGCATATAGTAACGTATGTTTTTCGAATATCGTAGCGCATTTGTTCACTTCCTCACAAATACGGAATGTTTCAATTTGTTGAGAAGAAGCAAACGTAAACTTTGTTTTTCGCATAAAAATAACATTTATCTTTAGGAATGGTTTGTGAATCATATCGGCAAGGTAAACACGTGTATTTTGCTATTAAATACTCTTTGAACGAACTCTGTTTGCTCAATAAGCAGGTAGTGATGGCCTGAAAACAGGTGTTTTGAGATAAACAATTAGAAATTCTCAAAAAACTACTTGACCAATATACTCCAACATTGTTGTTGTTATTTAGAAGTATGAATACTTCGGATTTGAAGAATTTCAAGTAGTTGCGTGAAATTATCGTCGCATTACCAATAAGTGCCAAAACCTGCATTTTGCTTCGTTTTCATCCATAACATTTTTGTTATTAGTCGGATCTTTCTACGTGTGATCTCATAAATACCTAAAAATCTTATACAAAAAGTAGACGTTCCTGTCAACACTTTCGATTAAATCCCAAAAACACGTTTTCTCATTCTTTCTTGACAAATAAAAAGTTTTGCCAGAAAAATTGGTGTACTTAGTTTAAGCGTTTTAAATACCTCCTTGAACAACTTGCATCAATAAAACCAGACCTTATAATTATTTCGGGGAAATTTGCTAATATACTAAGTGACTTATAAATCCGACCACCCAGTTTAAATGGTTTTATTTTAATAAAAGTTGGTGAATGTATTTATCTTACTGTAAATAACAAGTGAAATAATGTTCACCCTTATCAGTTGGACTTTCCGGTTTTTATACTGCTTTTTTTTAATTCACTAACGCTCTAAAAATGAATATTTCAGCCGCAGTAAAGAATCAACGTTGGCGGATTTTGGTTCTTGACATCCTTTACGATCGGTTACGATGCCTAGAGTACGGAGACCTGTACGATTTCGTCAACTTAGTGAGTTTGATAGGGGCCGTGTAGTGGGACTTCGGGAAGCTGGACTTTCTTCTCGGGCAATTGCAGTTAGAGTGCAAAGAAGTTTAGACACTGTGGTTAGGTGTTGTCAGGCATGGCTTCGAGAAGGCCGTACGCAAAGAGCAAGGGGCACTGGACGCTGCCGTAGAACAACAGACCGTGAAGATCGCCGCCTAAGATTATTGGCCTTAAGGGACCGTTTCTCCACTACCAGGTCCATTGCAAATGAATGGTTTGCAGAACACGGAAGACCTATTGGCATGCGAAGTGTTTACCGACGAATGAGAAGTTTTGGCTTGTTTTCATACCGCCCACACTGGGTCCTCCCTTTAACTCGAGAACACCGACGTAATCGCCTTGAGTGGTGCAGACAACGGTCACTCTGGGATCAGGAATGGAACAGTATTGTCTTTAGTGACGAGTCTCGATTTTGTTTAGGCATGCACGATGGTCGTGCCAGGGTTAGAAGGCGACGTGGTGAAAGGAGGAACCCACAGTTTTTTGTTGAAAGACATGTTCATCACACTGTTGGAGTTATGGTTTAGGGTGCTATAGCTTATGGTTCCAGGTCACCTTTAATCTTCATCAGAGGTAACATGAACGCGCAGCGTTATATCCAAGTTCTAGAACCCCATCTTTTACACTATCTTGACACCCTGGCAGATCCAACTTTCCAACAAGATAATGCCCCACCACATGTTGCAAGAGTCACAATAGACTTCTTTCAACATAATGATGTCACATTGTTACCACGGCCACCAAGATCTCCCGACTTATCCCCAATTGAGCACGTGTGGGATATGATGGGTAGGAGATTGCTCAATTTGCAACGTCCTCCTCAAACTCTAGAAGCACTTCGAGAGGAGTTGGTGGTTGCCTGGAATGAGATACCACAGGAGGAAATTGACCACCTGATCAGAAGCATGGCTAGGCGCGTTGGAGAATGCGTAGCACATCAGGGTGCATCCACACATTATTGAAGGTCAAAGGGCTTTAAAGCAGTGCAATCGTTTTGAAATTTTTATCATTTACTTATTATGCTTCATTGAGTACTTATACAAAATTTTATTAAAATAAAACCATTTATAGTAAACTGGGTGTTCGGATTTATATGTCACTTAGTATATGATTAGACTATTTCAATGAAAGTTTTCAAAAAAATATTATCATTGCCTTGTACTTGTCCCCGAATTATGAATATCATTTGCAAAGCGCATAGGAAAATTGTTTAGTACCTTCAATGAAGCACACTTTAGACTCCTCGTGTGGTTATCATTGCGGTCTTACATTTACTTTTCTTCACGTTATGGGTAAATTATGTCAAGAAGATTTGCTTGGAAGTAATGACTAAAAAAACTTTGTTGCGATATATTTTCTTTTCTAGAAAGTAGATATTTGGCTCCCCAGTAACATTGTTCTACAGCAAACAAATAATAAAAATATCCGCTATGGTAATTTTTAAGTAGCACTTAACCTCAAAAACATGTTTTGCTCACTTTGAAGCATATTTTTTCACCAGAACAACGTTCGGATCAATTACAATAGATTCATTTCAAAATCAACCATTTTTTCATTTTTTTGTTATTTTCATTAATTATGGAGTCTTGAAAATGGGTCAAAAAATATTTTATTAATCAGAGCTCTGAGAAAATTGGCATAATCTCGTAAACTACCGTAGATATAAAAATATCGTACCGACAACTTTTGAAGCTTACTTATTGAGCTACATAACTGCTTCCACCACTCTATTTCTATATAAAGTATTTGAAGGGTCGTAACAAAAAAATCAAAACCTAAAAAGCTTTTTAAAAAAATTTCAGTTCTCGCCCACTGTGGCATCTGGAACCTCCCGTCATGCTAAAGAACAATACTTCAATAAATTAAATCCAAAATTTAATACATTATGGTTTTATATCTAGTCAAAAGTGTTCTTACTGGGTTTTGTATCTAGCAATTTAAATAGGAAGCACATTCACCTTATTTGCTACTGTATTCGACGCTGATATTTCAAAAAATGGTGAGTGTGTATACCTCTCTGGTGCAGCTGTGATTGCTCTTTCGCCATTATTTAAATAGTATTCTGCCACATATTTTGATGGTATAGTGCACAAATGTTTATCAATCAGAGGGCTCAAAAATCCTGTATACGAGCATTTACGGATGGCCGAATCAGAACTCTGAAAAAATTGGCACAAACTCGTAAACGTACGTAGATATGAAAACTCAATTCTTGCCTACTGTTATAACTGGAACTTTCCGTCATGCCAATGAGAAATATTTCAATAAACTAAATCCAAAATTTAATACATTATGGTTTTCTATCTAGTCAAAAGTGTTCTTACTGGGCTGTGTATCTAGCGATTTAAATATGTCGCACATTCACTATATTTAAGGATTAAACGACTTACCTGTAAGGAAGTTCAATCCCAATTATACGAGGTTGGACACGTCCTCCTAGATCACCCTGTAGTAGTACCTCTTACTGCTGTGTGGCGCAAGTTTAAAGATGATTCACCGCCCGCTAGACCCAGCTCCCGCCTTCCGTGAGCCTCGTCATTATACTTCGGCGTAGAGACAAGTTCAGGATCTCCTTCTGGGTTGGGGTAGTCTCAAGGCAAGACATTCTTAAAAAGGGAAGGCGTGATCTAGGAGGACGTGTCCAACCTCGTATAATTGGGATTGAACTTCCTTACAGGTAAGTCGTTTAATCCTTAATTATACTTCTGTTGGACACGTCCTCCTAGATCACCCTGTAGATGTTCAAAGATATTGGAAGGCGATCGGAGATATTGAAACATAACCAAGCACAATTTGCTACTAGAATTTATTCGAGCAGTTTTGACAGAAAATAGTATAACTTATTCTAATTAATTTGTTTATTAGACTTAGAATGTAACATCATAATTCGAACATTTAATTACGAATTAAGGTATATGATATATAAACAGAATGAAATTGCTAAATCTGTAAATAGGAAAATAGATACTTAATTCTAACTCGTGGATTAAAGCACATTACGCATTACGATTTTGTTAATGTTTCTATGTAACACGCAAATGGTGTTTCTTTGGCAGATACCGGTCTATTGTAGAACCTAGCAAAAGAGCTTGAATTTTCAGTACAACCAGCTGATTTCCTTATAATTTCAATATTCAATCCAGTTTTAAAAGCGGCCGAGGAAGATGCGTGGCGAGTACTATGACCTTTAAATTTAGTTATGTCTACTCCACTTTTTCCCAATCCATATTTTATCCAACGACTTATTGTCTGTGTAGTCGCAGGATGTTGGGGTTTCTTTACAGTTAATATAAGAGAGTTTTCACTCTTTCGGAATAGTTTTGTTCGTTTTATATAATGAAGAATTGTAGTCGCTATGCAAAGTTCTGGTTTCTCCTTAAAAAAGGGAAATATCAATACCGGTTGTGGCCTCTTGGGTGCTGACGTTTTCAATATATCTGTAATCATGATTTTAAGTCCGTCTTCTGAGGAAAGTATGTTGCTCAACTTTATTTTTGCTAGTGTTTGGACCCTTTGAGCTGTTCCAAGGGCAAGTAATAAGACTAGCTTAACTGACAGGTTTGTTAGGTCCAGAGATTCTAAAGGATGTAATTTCTCAAGCATTTCCAATACCGGATAAGGATCCCAGATCTCTTCATACCTTGGAAAAGATGGCCTTGCCTTGAAAACTCCTTTTATAAATCACTCCACCTCTACAGATTTTCCAGCTTCAGATAGCAAATTTAGAGCAGATTTATGTGTATTAATTGTTGTGAATGTTGCTCCCTTTTCAAACTCCTGGGTTAAAAAATTGAGAATGTTATGTGCTTCTGCCTGAAATATTATATTAGTATTGCCGGTACAAAATGACCACCATTTTGAAAATGTGCTATTGTACTGTTTTAGTGTGTTTTGGCTAAAGGATCCAACAATAATTTCTATTGAAGTCTCCGATATGTTTTTCCTGGAGTAGATTTGCCGGATTAAATTGCTGCACCCAGGGTAAGGTTCCTGCATAGGGGGTGTGGTTTCCTGAAAGGGGATAGGAGCAAGTTGTATTGTGGATGGAAGGTAATTGTTTCGGATATGATCATATTTTCCAAGCTTGGAAACCAAGCTTGTGACTTCCAAATCGGGAAAACCATTATGCATTCTGCTTCCTCGGATTTAATTTTTTGAAGAACTTTTGGGATAAGAGAAAAGGGTGGAAATATATAGGCCCAGATATTTTCCCATGACAAGGTAAAAGCATCTACCATGAAGCTTGCTGGATCTGGGTACCAAGACACGAAGTTTTTGCATTTAGTATTTAGATAACTGGCAAAAATATCAACTTCTGGTACTCCTAGATGTTTTGTTATAGTTATATAAGCTTCGGGATGTAAAGAGTATTCTATTTCGATAGATTTAAATCTAGAAGCCGAGTCTGCTAAGAAATTATCTTTGGAATTTATATGAGATGCAAACAGGAGTATTTTTCGTTTTTCACACCATCTCCATATTTCCCTGGATATTTTGTTTAAATTTTTATATTTGACTCCACCCATTCTATTGATGTAAGAAACGGCAGTTATATTATCAATTCTTAAGACTATTCTACATCGCTTTAAATGTCTGGCAAACGTTTTGAGACCAAGAAACCCTGCTTTAAGTTCTAAGTAATTAATGTGCTTGACAACTTCGTCTTTATCCCAGAACCCTCTTGCTTGTTTTTTATTACATACTGCTCCCCAGCCTGTGGAAGAAGCATCTGTGAACAAAGTCAATTTATAACTGGGAACTTTTAAGTTGAAATAACAAGTTTCTATATTTTCTAGCCACCAAATAAGATCGTTTTCAAGATGGTGGGGGATGTGCATGAGTCTCTCAAAATTTCCGTTATGATTTCTCAAGGCAAGATATTTTGCTCTCTCAAATTGTTTGGTATAGAGTCAGCCATAATGTGTCCCAGGACAAATTGATATTAAATTACCAATAAATCTGCACCAGATTCTAATTTTTATTTCCTTTTGAGACAAAATTGTTTTCGTCATCTTTTTGATCTTATAGACTTTTTCTTTCGTAGGGTGCATTGTCATGGCATTTGTGTTAAACACGAGCCCCAAAAATGTTAATTCTTGAGTTGGTTTCAAAAAACTCTTTTCTCTGTTTATGACAAAACCTAACTTTTCTAGCACAACGCATGTTTCACTAATGTTTTTTGAGCAATCTTCTTCATTTTCACTTATGAGCAAAGCATCATCTAAGTAAAAAATAGAGGTGTGCCCTCTTTCCCTCAGATACTGGGTTACTGGTCTTAAAATTTTTGTAAAGACATAAGGCGCTGTAGATAGTCCAAAAGGAAGACATTGAAATTCAGAAATCTTCTGTTCAAATCCGAATCTTAAAAACTTTTTATATTTCTGAGAGATTGGAACCGAAAAATAGGCATCCCTCAAGTCAATAGAGGCTAGAAAACAATTCTCGCTTATTAATTTTTTTACTGTTCTAGTGTCCTCTAATTTAAAATGTGGTGGAGATAAATATGTATTTAGGTTTTTGAGATTTAAAATAAATCTGTAACTGCCGTTTGATTTCTCTCTCAAGAAATAGGACGATAAAAATTGTCCCTTGCATTTTTCGGCAAGCTTTACAGCACCATTCGATAAAAGATTATTTATGCAGTCCGAATACAGTTTTTCCATATTCTTGGGGATACTTCGTGTTTTTGGAGGAACATGTTGGTGAGGCAATTCATTAAACGGAATTTTATACCCCTTGATCCAGCTCAGGATGAGACTGTTGTTGGTTATTTCCTCCCATTCTTTATAAAAAAAAACGTAATCTTCCTGCAAAATTAATATAATTCTTTACCTCTAACGGCGCCCGTTCCATTCGTGTTGTTTCTTGATGTGTTTTCCCTTTTTGTAGCGATCTTCTTTGTTCCAAGTGTTTGTCTTGAATGTTGGTTTGTTGTAGCTGTAACTGGGCCTCTTCTTGTTGTCTGTTGGCTGCCACCGGTTCCTCGAGGCATGTCCCTTCAAGTTTTTTGAGCTGGTTGCCGTTGTAGACCTCAGTTCAAAATCGTCACCAAATAGCATTGAATCTCTGCTTTGACCCATGGCCACTAATTGCATTTTCTTATTGAAATGTTGGTGCACCATATATTTTCGATGTGTGCTCATTAAGTGATGAATGGAGCACAACATTTTCCCTGCATCGACTAATCCGACTAGATTGGGATCTGGATCTGTGTTGGACTCAACGTTTTGAAGCATGTTAGTCATCACGTTACCAAGGGCAGTTATTGATTTTCCCAATTGGTTTTGTAATGACATAAGGAATTTATCCCTCTTAACGTCTGTTGGAGGAATAATCATAGCTTCCACTTCTGGGTTATTCTTAGGGGCTTCTAGAAGTGAGCAGTTACTAGGAAAAAGGACGGAATCAAAGGTCTTAATGATCGTTTCTTTATCTAGGCCTTGCACGATGTAGCTAGACCATCTGTTCGCTAAATCTGGTGCTAATTCTGGTCCAAACGAACTTTTATTGTTTGGATTTACCCCCAAAATAGTGGATAATTCACTTTTTGCTTCGGTGGTCCGTTCGGTCTGGCTGTCGTCATTACAAATATCTGAATCAGAATCATTGCTTATATCCGAGCTCGTGGTGGTGGACTCGGAGTCTGAACCTGTTGAAAGAAAAAACCCCATGTTTTAGCCGAGGTTTATGAAAGCAATTGATAGAAATAAATGGTAAGGCTACGGAACAAACCATAAAACAGGTAATAGCCGGAAGTCATGATAGGAGATTATATCCACCCCCCTTCCTTTTTTGCAGTAGTCCAAAAACCTTGCAATACTATCAAGTGTCATAAAATATGCTAAAAATCATAATACTCCATAATGCAACCAAGATTATGTTGATCTATAAAAATACATGTGATTAAGACTGGATCGTAACACGAGCCGTCACTGATTACATCGTAAAGAATATTATATGATCCATGAATTTATTTGGTGAATAACACCGAGGCTAGTTTTATTTAACCCTCCATGTTTAGGCAGTAACAAAAAAGATAACCGATCCTAATCATCTGTGCATAAATCACTGTCGACGGCCCAGGTAGAAAAACTTGTTTCCGATAACAGCGGTTGAGATAAACATCGTCCTTGACAGCGTATATTTTGTCGATATTTTAGCATTTTAGAGAGTTGGGCACGGAATTATTCGTGAGTACCGTGCGTTTGGCGCGTATGAGTCAGAAACTATACCGGGTTAAATGTGCCTACAAAGTAGAGCAACCCGTGCCAAAAAAATTGTACTAATCAAATGATAGTCAATGTCTCTATGCTATAATCAGCGGTGAAATTCTAAAATGAAAGTGGAATTGAAAATCATGGGAATTTTATTTACTTACTTGAATCGTATTTTTTAAGTTTTTCCTCCATTTTTCGCATTTTCTGTTTCAAACGGCATATGGCTTCGAGTTTCCGCTTATTAGGTCCTCTGTTTTTTGGCATTTCCGAACACTAGACACACAAATGTACACGTAGCACTTGGCTCACTCAGCGCAAGAAGTATAATGACGAGGCTCACGGAAGGCGGGAGCTGGGTCGAGCGGGCGGTGAATCATCTTTAAACTTGCGCCACACAGCAGTAAGAGGTACTACTACAGGGTGATCTAGGAGGACGTGTCCAACAGAAGTATAATTGCAACTGTACTCGACGCTGGTGATTAAAAAAATGGTGAATGTGTATACCTCTCTGGGGCAGGTGTGATTGCTCTTTCGCCATTATTTAAATAGTATTCTGCCACATATTTTGATGGTATAGTGCACAAATATTTATCAATCAGAGGGCTCAAAAATCCTGTATACGAGCATTTACGGATGGCCTAATCAGAACTCTGAGAGAATTGGCACAAACTCGTAAACGTACGTAGATATGCCTACTGTTACAACTGGAACTTTCCGTCATGCTAATGAGAAATATTTCAATAAACTAAATCCAAAATTTAATACATTATGGTTTTCTATCTAGTCAAAAGTGTTCCTACTGGGCTGTGTATCTAGCGATTTAAATATGTCGCCATTCACTATATTTGCTATTGTACTCGACGCTGATGTTTAGAAAATGGTGAATGTGTATACCTCTCTGGGGCAGCTGTGATTGCTCTTTCGCCATCATTTAAATAGTATTCTGCCACATATTTTGATGGTATAGTGCACAAATGTTTATCAATCAGAGGGCTCAAAAATCCTGTATACGAGCATTTACGGATGGCCTAATCAGAACTCTGAGAGAATTGGCACAAACTCGTAAACGTACGTACTCGTAGATATGAAAATATCGTAACGCCCACTTCTGAAACTAACTGATCGAGCTACAAAACTGTTGCCACTACTGTTTTTCTATATATAGTATTTGCTGGACCGTAACAAAAACAAAACAAAAAACAGGAAGTTTTAAGAAATTCTCAGTTCACGCCTACGGTAGGATCCGGAACTTACTTCAATAAACTAAACCCAAATCTTACATTATAGTTTTTTTGTTTAGTCAAAAGTGTTCACATACTGGGTGGCCTAGCGGTCTAAATAAGAGGCACATTCACCATATTTGTCCTATTTTTATGTTAAAAAAGGTGAATGGGCATACCTCACTGGTACAGCTAGACTGCTCTTTCGCTTTTATTTAAATTATTTTCGGACATACTTGGATGTGCAGTTCACAAATGCTTGAATGACTTTCTTTTGAAAATGGATTATCTACAAGAATCAAATAATCAGGAGATGATGCACAAGTATAGTAAGTGACAAACACATGATATTTGTATAAGGTATAAGTAAGGACATTTTTACCTGTCCACGGTATATAAATATCATTTACATAACACACTATGTTAAGCGAAACACTTTAGCACCTTTAATGAAGCACACCTTAAGCTTCTCAGGCTGTTATGAGGTTTTATATTTACTTTTCTTCACGATATGGTTAAATTATGTCAAGAAGATTTGCCTGAAAATAATGACTGAAAAAGACGAATTTTGTTGCGCTATATTCTTTTTTCTGGACATCAGATATTTTTTGTTTTCAGTACAATTATTGTACTACAATTAGATATAAAAAATATGCTTTTCTGCTATGACAATTTTGAAAAAATTTATAGCATAAAATACCACTTAACCACAAGCTTTGCTCACTTTTGCGCATATTTCTCAAACAGAACAATTTTTTGCAACAACTTCAATAGATTTACATTCCTCTTTCTATTGACATTTTTGTCATTTTCATTAATTATGGAGCGTCAAAGGCTGAAAAAAAAATAATTTATCAGTCAGACGGCTAAAAATTCCTGCATTTACCCATAGTATAATCAAAGCTTTCAGATCTTTGGTATAATCTCGTAAACGAACGTAGATATGAAAATATCGTAGAGACAACTTTTGAAGCTTGCTTATCGACAAAACTGTCTTCTTACCACTTTTTTCTATATATAATACTCGTATTTGCAGGACCGTAGCAAAGAAATCAAAAACTAAGGAGCATTTGAAAAAATGTTCAGTCCTTGCCTACAGTAGGATCCACAACTTTCCGTCGTGCTAAATAGCAATACTTCAATAACCTAAATCAAAATTTTCATGCATAATAGTTTTTTTGTTTAGTCAAAAATGTCCATTTACTGGTGTGTGCTATCTAGCGATTTAAATAGAAGGCACATTCACCATAGTTGCCATTGTGTCCCCATGATGATATTTAAAAAAGTTGAATGTGCGTACCTCTCTAGTACAACTATGCTTACTCTTTCGCCATTATTTAAATTATATTCTGCCATATTTCGATGGTGTTGTACGATTTTCTTTTTGAAAATGTGTTCATTATCTACAAAAACTTAATAAATCAGGAGATGATGCATCGAATGCACAAGTATGGTAAGTGATAAACACATTTATAATACTAAATTTTCGACGGATAGTTACGTGGTGGTACGTTGTAAGATCGACCTCAGAAGCTATGAATTTTTTTCAGCGAATTTCGGAATGTATTTGGCTTGATTATCTATTTCTATTCCCATTCTCCCACCATTCTTACACAAGTGAACGTCTATTGCGAAAATAGAGCTATAATGAAAAATTCCATTAAACAAACTGACCGAATGACGTGAAAAATTCTCGCTAGAGGAATATAAAACGGACGGTTGCAACAGGAAGCTGTTCGTTCGTTAGCTAAAGCAAACATGACTGAATGAATATGGGCGAACTCAACCGGGCATACCTGCTACAAGGATATAGGGAAAAAGAACAACGAGAGCGCAGAGAGAGGAGAATAATTTACAAAATTGATTAGTGATCGGTACTGGCAATCGCGACGGCACATGCCAGCTGATGCCGAAAAAGTGCTCGAATTTCGTACAGAATCGGATTCAGCTTAGACCAAAAACAAAAAATTACGCCAGGTTAGATTACAATCTACTTCCCACTTACCGCTGTCGTCAGTTCATAAAGGATTATGATGGCCACAAGTTATCCCTTCTAAGAAAAAATTAAATGACCTTTCTTCTCCCTCTGAGGGAATGACAATATTGGCCTTCACCATGCACGGTGCGTACGACCACCGATGACGACACCTGTCCATCGGGGGACGACGTCGCACGTATCGACTCCCGACTGTTGGAGATAATTTAGTTTTACGGGTAAATGTAGGGGAACATGCCTAATATGTGCATAGAATTACTAAATTGCGATATAACCTCCCAACCCTCAATTTTTACAAAAATGATTTTTTTTATTTTCATGTTTATTTTTATTTATTTTTTTTGTGTTTGACCTTTTTCTCCGTCATCTAAAACAAACATAATACCTCAGTTTTAAAAATTTTCTTGACGACAATACTTCCCCGCTAGTAGGCATATGCTTACGACGATGACAGATAAAATCTGACATCAACAGTGCCACATTAAAGCGTAATATCAGATGAAGACCCAACCTGGAATTTCCTAATAAGCTAGACTAATCCCTACTATTATAAGTGAAA